CGACAATAGGWACCTAACTAAATACAAATGCTCAGATATTGTGMATTTGTGCTATAAATAATTCATAATTTGTCTATATAATATTGATAATATTTATTATCTTATATTGTTCAACAACAAATTATCCTATATCTGCAATACAAAATAACTCAACAATTATAATTTTAATCATTTTAACTGGGATACATAACCAAATATTCTGTACTGCAATGGACTAAGAAGCCTAAGTTTAATAAAAAATKTTTAGTGTTGTAAATTTCTTGTTAACTTAGTATTTTTATAAAGGATAAGAAGGAAAATAGTGTGGCCATTATCCATTGAAAAACAAACTACTAACTATAATATATGCCGTCATTAAGTTATATAATCATACAATAACTAACATTTTTATTTAAACCTAATAATATTGTACCATTCACTTCCAAATATGCAGAATAATAATCCATTCCTACGGCATTTTGTGCCACACATGTATAATTTCCACCATTAGGAAGACCAGCAGAAGGAATAGATAAAATATTTGATCTATCACCCATAGAGCTTGTAAAAACTCCAGTCTGAGATGACGTAAGTTCTGTGGTGTGGAAATACCATGATATTCTTAAAGGCTTATCGCCTTTAGTCACAAGACACGTTATTTGTACTGGTTCACCAGCAAAAACTGCTGATTCAAATTCAAACGGTCTTATTCGAGGAGGCACTGGAAACCGTTAAAATCAATTTCAGCTAAGAGTATCATGATTTTAATAACTAATTTCTATTACAAACTTACATGAGTATAATATAATATTATAAACATTGATAATTTTATCAATAATTACTGTTCATAATTTGTATGATTAATAATAGGATTATAAGGAATATAGGTAGATACTCTAACAGAAATTATAAGGAAATTAAGAATGAATAATACATGTATTGCGATAAGCATAAATGTAAATAAATTACTTAATGTTTATAGGAATACAATTAATTATTTCATAACATTCTATATTGTACCATTTACTTCCAAATATGCAGAATACGAGTCCATTCCAACAGCATTTTGAGCTACACACGTATAATTTCCACGATTGGAAATACCAGCCGAGGAAATTGACAAACTATTGGCTCGATCACCCAAATWATTAGTTACTATACCAGTTTGAGGAATTGTTAATTCTTTGCTTTGCAAGTACCATGATATCCTTAAAGGTTTATCACCTTTTGTCACTAAACAAGTCAACTGAACTGGTTCACCAGCATAGACAGCCGACTCAAATTCAAATGGCCTGATACGTGGAGGTACTAGAATTTTCAATGTGTTGTCTTATTATTTTAAACTGATAATCTAACATCCACAACTAATTAAGAGTAATTKATYAAAGTTAAAATAGCCTTTAACAAATTAGATAATTGTTCGTATAAGTATTCTCTTTTAAGATTATATTAATTATAAAATAAATAGTATCACAAAATAAATGTATGGGAATAAATAATGAAGGAATATTTTGCATAGGTATTTCACAAACTAACTACAAGAACATCAAAATCCAAATGCCTTAATCAGTTGCATCAAAATTATTATAGTGGTTCCAAATAAACAATGAAAGAAAGCTTTTAACTTGTTACAAAGATTTTGAATAAAAAATCAATATCCGATTTTATACCATTCACTTCCAAATATGCAGAATAATAATCCATTCCAACGGCATTTTGAGCTACACAAGTATAATTTCCAGCATTGGAAAGACCAGCAGAAGCAATAGATAAACTACTTGCTCTATCTCCCATTGTGTTAGTTGTAATTCCAGTTTGAGATGTCAATTCTCTGCTGTGTAAATACCATGATATTCGCAATGGCTTATCGCCCTTAGTGACAAAACATGTTAGTTGCACCGGTTCACCAGCGAATACTGCTGATTCAAACTCAAATGGTCTGATGCGTGGAAGTACTGTAAATATTTTACACCTCAGGAAGTTAAAAATTGAGGCATATCCACTAAATTCAATAAAAATATAGCAAAACCAAAATAATATTTAGAAATCACAGAATATTGAAGAAAAGTCTTGATTTAATGTTTATACCTTAAATATGTCTTAATATCAATATTGGACGTGATACACTGATACTGAAATATTTGAAAACAGGAATAACATTGAAGTCGATYAAAAATGACAAAATTGTTGGTAATAAAGAATAATTATAAAATATTTAATTGATTTTTAAATGATTAAATAGTTTTTTTTACATACTCTGAAAAATTGTCTCACTATATTATATTATTATTAATAAATCCAATAATATTGAGCAAACAATCCAGATAATTTTTAACAGTCATTAATGATGAGGGTTTCAAAATCTAATTTAAAAGACAGGTATGGATTTTTTTTTTCAACTGCAACAGTAGTTAAAAAATTCAATAAAAGTACAAACTGTATTATATCTAAAGTATATAGTAAAAAAAAAAAAAATAGTATTCTGTACCCTAGTAATTCAAACATTTTTTTAGTTGAAAAACAGTACTTAAATAGTTTGTTCTCATTATGTTTTGAATTATCAAGGATCTTAGATGATTGTTAAAAGATTTTAATTTGTCTAAGAGGATATTAATTTTATATATTATTAATAACTAATAATTAACCACAATTCTTTGATATATAATCATTTTAAAACTCATAATTAAATAGTTTTTCCAAAAAGAAGATTTTTATAAACAATATTCTTTGAAAATACGAACAAATTTATTGAAATAATTTTATGGTATAAATATAATAATAGGACGGAAAAAACTTTAATACCTAACAAGGCAACAATAATCTGGACATGCAGATGTGCTAGAAGCTTAATAATATTACTTTTGTGCAGATCTTTACCGTTGACCATTAATTCTGCTGTATGTTCGATAACACCAGCTCGATTTGTTGCTATGCATGTATAAAAGCCTCTATGATATTCAGTTACTGAGGGTATTTCTAGCATGACAATTTTTTTCCCTATTCGATTAAGCAATATAGGTTCAGGCAATGATCCCACGGTTCCACCATCAGCACTATGAAATGTCCAAGATATGTTAATTGGCATATCACCTCGTGCTACATGACATGTTAATTGAGCGTTATCACCAACACTTAACTCGCCATCAACAGAAAAAGGCATTATTGAAGGGGGTACTAAAAATTGCGAGAAAASATTTCATGAATAAATCAAAAGTTATATTTAGCATTGAGTATTATAACATAATTGTTCAATTATTGTTAAGAATGCATGGGAAATGGGAATTATATAAATAAGAAGCATAATGTGCTAGTGCTAATGTTGTGTTGTTACAGTTGAATTTTCAAAATATGCTACTCCGTATACCATTAACCATCAACAGAGCAGTTTGATTGACAACTCCTGCTCTATTTTTTGCTATACATGAGTAGCTTCCTCGATGATATTCTGTTACTGTAGGTATTTCTAACATTGTTATTTTTTTTCCAATTCTATTTTCTATTATTGGYTGTGGCATAGGTTGTATACGACCATCTGGGCCTTGAAACACCCATGTTATTTCTAATGGTGTGTCACCTTTTATTACATGACAAGTGAGCTGAGCAGTTTCACCAACATTCGATTCACCCTCGAACGAAAATGGTTTCATTGATGGTGGTTCTAATAACAAGTATATTGTTTTTAATATTGTAGGAAAAATATGAAGAGGAATTATGTATTGTTTTGATCTAAAAAAATAACTTTTAGTGCCATATTGCCAACAGTTAAGAGTAAGTAAGTACAGCAGACATGCTAGGTACATTATTTTTTTTATTTTTCCTCCTTAATTGTTTACCATTCACAGATAAAACAGCAGATTGTGAAACTCGATCTGCTCGATTATTTGCGGTACACACATATGTACCACGATGAAACTGTGTCACCACAGGTATCTCAAGTACAGCTATTTTCTTTCCTATCCTATTTATAGTAGTAAGTTCAGGAAGTGGAACTGAATGATTGTTGACATCCAAAAATGTCCAAAATAATTCAAGTGGCATATCACCTTTGCTCACATGACAAGTTAACTGGGCATTATCACCAGCATTRGTTTCTCCATCAAATGCAAAAGGTAATATAACAGGCGGAACTAAAATCATATTGTATATTGTGCCCGTTATATCATCAGAATCATTATAAACTTTGTACCTTATTGGATTAATTTTATGAAACAATCAAAATTCACTTACCTGGATGTAAAAAAATAAACTAATAGTGTTAAGACTTACTTAATTGGATTATCGTCAAATTATGAAATTATAATTTATTAATTTAAACTTAATAATATAATGTATGTATTGATATTAAACCTACAAAAATTCCACTATTTCATTTTTTAAATATATACAATAATTCATATTGATATGAGTTTTTTTTTTATTTCTATTGTATATTATTATTCGGTATATCAAAAATAAAAATGTATAGTATTTATTTAAWTTTTAGTGTTTTGGAAAGTACTAACTGTATAATACATCTACAATAAATTAACTAGGAATCATTAATTATTATTAATGAATCATACATTTTTAATGAAAGCGAAAGATCCACTTTCATATATTTTCATACCCTATAAATTATTTTGTTTTTATAAGTTAAAGATAATTATTACAATTTCTGAAACAATAAATTATACTCTAAAATCTRTTTTTCATATTTAAATAGTTATTTTACCATCAAGCATTTTTAATTTTGTTCTCAAATAGGTTTTGTTGTTTTATTCTTTAAAATGCTTTTACTCAAGTTATGTTGGATGAAAAAAAAAATTGTGACCTTAAGTTTGGTGACTTGATTTGTAAAAATATAACAAAGTGACTTTAAATTGTTTAAAAAAATTAATATAAAATACAAATCCAAAATGAAATTTAAAATTCATCAAATATAAAAATTGTATAGTAAAAAAAGTTCTTTTTAATAGATATGAAGAACAGATAGAGTAAATGATGTATACAATTAGTAAAAAAATGTTAACAATTTAACATACCCATCACTTGCACTTCTAGATTTCCTTTAGCAGTATGTCCTTGGGCATTTCGAGCAACACATGTATAAGTAGCCTGATCTGAAGATCTTTCAACATTTTCAATAATCAAAGTGCCATTTGGGAATACTTTTTGTTTACGGTTAATAGGAAGCTGTCGATTATCTAATAATTAAATTAACATAGTATGTTGAATATTGATTAATAGCGTATTTAGTGTATTTACCTCTTTCCCAAGTGATCGATTCCAATGGGTATCCAGCAACTGGGCAAGTAACAAAAAGGTTCTCTCCTGACACTATATTTTTCTTATCCATCGGTCTAATAAAAGGAAGACCGTAAACATTGAGATGTGCAGTATGTTCAGCAGTACCAACTTTAGATACGGCTACACATCTATAGTGACCTCCATCATTAGTGTGAACTGATGAGATATTGAGATACGAAACTACTTCTCCTGCCATTGTWATATGTTGCCCAATACGAAGCCTAAACATACTAATTAAGTAGAATACAATTTATTAAAATTTTCCTTCTACGGACCTTTCTGTGCTGCTAAGTCGTTTGGAATCTAATTCCCAGTTAATTTCAGGAGTGGGATTTCCTGATGCAATACATTTTAAGTGCAAAGAGACTCCTGGCTGCATAGTGTTATCATTAAAATATTCTTTGATATGGGGTGGCTCAACTGTTGAAATATTAAAATATCAAAAAAATAAAAAAGCCTATATTAAAAGACAACATACATCTTCCTCCTAATTTGAGTTCAGCACTTCCTTGAGCACTCTCTTGTTCATTCCTTACAAAGCACTGATACATTCCTTTATCTTCCTTGCGTACAGAATCAATTCTTAATACTCTTCCATCATGAGAACTCAACCGTTTACCATCCTTTAACCAAGAAATAGTTTTTACTGGATTCCCTTCATAATTGCAAGTCAGAGTAGCAGGTCGTCCAAAATCCACAGTTTGAATGGTAGGTTCAACAATTGCATTTAATGGAGCTGCAATTTAAAAGTTATACATTTTAATTATTATATTCAAGGTAGACTACCAAAAAGTCCGAGGTAAAAAAATTCTAAGAAAAAAAGTCCGAGTA